GGGGGGTATTAACATGTTCTACAGGACTATCGCTTTACCTTTGAATTGAAAGTTTTATCTGACATGTTTGACAGTTTTGAGTCACTTAGACCATGAGATCAGAAACCAAATGCTCTAGATCTATCTGTTCGGAGTCGTTCTCAAGATATTCAGAGAATTGCATTCGAAAAAGCTGGACATATGAAACTCATTTTTTACGTTAAATATCTAAAATCTAGATAACGAGCAGATAGAACTTTGTAATTCTAGAGTAGCGATTAAGCAACAATAAAATTCTTGCAATGAGTTACTCGCCGCGATGTATCAATGGTTATTTTGCTCCAGAAAAACATGATTCAGAACACGGCGCCTTTAGGCTACTATCAAACTGCGCAAACTACATACGAGCTTTTTGAGTTAATGTAACAATAAAATTCTTGCAATGCGTTACTCACCGCAATCGGTCCTAGCTCCTCTTCACTGTCTGCAGACGACATTTTCAACAACAACGCTCTTGTACACTAAAGGGGGAGCAGAATTCTTGTACACAATAGCTCAAAGCGATGTATTTATAAAGGCAGGAGTGTTTTTGTGAAAACGTGTAGCTGCTAACATCGCATGTCATCGTGGAATAGAGATATTTTTTGGCGTGCATGTCCTTTTAGATTTCAGGGTGTGCCCACGAACCGACTTTGTCTCGCGCAGTCGAAAGGTTCGTCTTGTGGGCTGTTATTATCTTTCGATGTGTTCCTTCATTTGGTCGCTTTTTTTTTTTAAAGGACTAGCGTGCTAACCCAGATTTCGGTGGTTTCCAGAAATCTTGGCCTACACCAAAAGTGGGTATTGCCCTACCTATGGGAGAAGTTTGGTTTCATTGGTGTGTATATTTGTTTGGTTGGTTGTGGTGAAAACTCTCCTTGTTTTATTTTTTAAGAAACGTTATAAGGGGCAAAAACTTTACCTTTGATTTTCTCAAATTAGCTATTATCGGGAGAGCCCCCTTGTGCTTAAAAGCGACCAATTATTCGCGTCCTCGGCCTCTGCATGTCAAGTCAAGGTTACACCCCACCAACAAAAACCTGTCTCGGGTGTTTTGTGTGGGTGGTCGTCCTGATCTCTTCTCCTTCGTATTTTTTGTGTTTGTTACTCTCTTGTAACATCTCTCGTCTTCGGCACTTATATATGACAGTATTGTGTTGCAAGTGCTGTAAAACTCTTACTAAAACTTTTTTTTTAACCTGTCTCTAAAATTCCCGCTCTTCCCCTCCACACTTGGTGGTCGTTTTGAACGTGTTCAATTCTATTCGAATATTTATTGCGTCAAACCGCCGATCGCACGTATCCAGTGTGCACACACCTTAATTCGTACAACCTGCATATTTTGCTGTTAGATTATTTATGCTGCATAAGCAGAACATTGGATAACAATGCCTAAGTAGTAGGCTGCACGCGCTACGATATGTTTAACCCTATCCGTACGTCGTGTTTTACTATCGTATCCATACGACGTGGGGAACTCTGTGCCACCACTTTCCATAGAGACGAAATTTACTCGTTAATCCGATCCCTACGCTTTGCATAGCAGTCTGTCAAAATGATTTTTTGAGAAATACTGAAAGTTTCAAAGAGATCTTCGTACTAGAAGTATTCTAAAATGTGAAGAATACAAGCCCGGGGGTACAGAATGACGGGTTAAACAACATAAGTAGTTAGCTGCACTCGCTACGATATGTTTGATATGTTTAACAAGCCACACGTATGCAGAGCCAGGTTTGCTTCTTATTTATCGCTTTATAGCACAGGTCATCCTGACATTTTTTATTTAAGTAACTGATAAGAATCAGAATAAATTAGGCTACAGTGCAAAGGTCACAAGCCTCAAGCTAGGGGTGTCACACTACGTGAACTCAGTCTCAGAGTGGGTGGTTGGCGGGTGCTCTGGTTTTGGTTGCTCCTTCTTTCCTGTAAAAAAAATATATGGTCTCTATCTCCCTTCCTTCTTTTTTAATGTTTTTATACTTTCTTATAACACCTCTAATCTTCGGCACGTATATGACCCTATTGTGTTGCAAGTGCCGTAAAACACTTACGACGTACAGATAGGGTTAAGAACCCCTTCAGTTGTGTGAAGTTCGTCAGCATAAGTACCCTCAGCAACAGCAACCTCCCCCCCCCCAAAAAAAAAATATATATAAAAAACTCACAGGGAGTGGAAAAATCTTGGAAAATTTTTTACAAAAAAACAACAACCAAACAGCATCTTGCAATTGCACTGACATCATTTTTATTCCATTTAGTATGACAAGAATGACATGGTGCGACTAAACTTTTCAAAGCTACTGGATGTAGATGCAAACTAACCAGTTGAACAGTCTTACTTTCATCTCACAAGACTCGCGTTATAATACAAAACATCCTTCTCTCTCAAAGCCCAAATAATACGATGAACAACATCTCATTTCTAAAGCAGCAGAGAGGCTGGGTTAGCAAAATACTCCCAGTCAACTCCAAGCCCATTCCTGTGAGACACAACATTCGATGCAAGTCCACTCAAAACAGTACATATGACGTGTCACTACGCGGTGGAATCCGGCGCTCGTCAATTCTTGGGCATATATGGAGTTACTGGTATCATCTGAAAGCTTATTCATTGGCCTTGCCTTCAGTGAAAAAATACCCATCTATCTTGACTAAAATTAGAGATATTTGTGTTTGGGGGAGATGGGGTCACCTGGTCTCAGTGGAAAAATTAGCGAGAAAATGGCTGCCAAAGTTTGGTCCAACACGGTAGCTAAAGAGTCCTTGGAAACAAAACAAAAAAGACATATTTTGTGCCTTTAATCAATACATTTCAGTAAGACACACGTGGAAATGTGTTTTCAGATGTATATACGAGAGGTTAAGCCAAAAAAAAAAAAAATTTGATAAAAATTTCCAAACCAGTGGATAAATGCTCGTTTCTCCAATTTCTGTATTTTGACGGGCGCCCGATTTCACCACGCTGCCTCACATTTGATTCAAGTCCACTCAAAACGGTACATATGACGGAAACACAATAAAAAATTAACAACAAATATTTCTCTCATTCTTTATCTCCCCCCCCACCCCACCCCATCCAAAACCCCTCCTCCCTCACTCTTCCTCTCTTGGTCTCTCCATATCTTTCCCGCTCTCTTTCAATCATGCGAAAACACAAACACACATGCAGAGACACACTCACTCACACTGCCCTGCAAGTCCACATCTCCATCAAGCTCGTGGTCAGAGCGCTGAGCCAGTGAGTCGCTGATAGCAGCTCGAGCACATTCCTTTACGACAACTTCGACGTTACATTACTTTTCGGCAATAGCCAAAAACACATCTCTTCTAACGGGAGCTCTTTCATTAGATGAAGCGCTCTCAACGCAACAAAAGCTAGTTTTTTGTCTGCGACATCAAAAGTAACCACCTGACATTTCACACCTCAAGATAGACATCATCACAGTTTGGTGTGAGAATAATTATACCAAAGAGGCATTTGATACCTTCAGCATAGATGAATACACAAGACCATTATTTCACATTCTGCTAGAACACTAATACCATGTACATTCAATTTTTGACAACGCAAAGACCATTACAAGAGAAGAATTTTATTGTTTTGTTTTAAAGGGTGATTACAAGAGAACAATTTTGTTGTTTTGTTAGAGTGATTACAAGAGAAGAATTTTCTTGTTTTGTTTTAAAGGGTGATTACAAGACCCCCAGTGAAAGAATGCTCTGGACGTGCCAATAATAAGAAAAACGCCAACTCAAATTAAATATGCCGGTTTATACATAATGGTAGTGAAAACACGTGTGATATGAGAATGAAACTGTCTGTATAAACCAATACCATCAATATTATTACTGAGTTGCACTGTACATGATACTGCAAGGGGGGGGAGATACCTAATTTTAAGAAATATAAAAAGAAAAAGTACATTTTTGAGAAGTCAAATATAGCGGGGCGCCTACATATCTAGGGGACAAAAAAAAGGAAAAAAAACCCAAACAAAACACTTGCTT